TATGACCATGAAACATCTTAGCTTCAAGTCAGGAGATGTTTGAGGTCAAAGATCAGGATTTTGACATCAGTATGATCACCCTATACTTGTGAACACAAACATAAACTTATTGTTTATGCTTGGCCACTGCTATTACTTCTGTCACTCTTTGACTCACGAGAAATTTGACACAGAAGTGATAGGATCATCGGATCAAATACACGTTATGAGACATTGCAAAGATTATTGTGTCAGAATATAATAATCAACAAAAAATAACTCCAAGAAGCCACACCATTAACCTATTCCAAATCTCCAAATAAATGTCATGATAATTTAAAAGAAATCCTGAACTTAGTAACCACAATAGAGTAAAGGAAAATTCAACTTTCGTTCATATACTTTCACGCTATTTCTAATAATGTCTCTATACTTTTAATTTGTCTACAGTCCTTCTACTTCGACAAATTTTCTAATCAAGTCTTTCTGACACTAAATCTGACCAAATTCAGCTGAAGTGGCCATTCGATGACGACAACAGCGTATGATGCCAACAAAATATGCAGATGCCCAAGTGGACGTGTATGGAAAAATTTAGCCAGTGTAGACAACCTCGAAGTGTGACATGATTCGGTGTCAGAGAAATTTTATCCTCCTCACACAACGAAGACACCTGACGGTCACACCAGCACGATTTGGCATGATTCGGTGTTAGAGAGACTTGATTAGAAAATTTGCAAAAGTAGAAGGACTTTATTTAACAATTAAAAGTACAAGGGACTTGATTAGAAAAAACGTGTAAGTACAGGATAGAAACAATACTGCCACAATTGCTATAGCCAATATTAATTATCAAAAACCAACAACTAATCCACAGTCAGCAGATTAACAGAAAGGTAGTGGCAGTAGCTGAGAAATTACAGTCTAAATTCATCTAATCTGTATCCGCAGAAGAATGCCTAACCTGACAAGACAAGTAAGTCCATTTTGTACCACATGAGCAATGAAAGGAATGGTCACACTGCGTACTCAAAATTCCACTGGTATCTGGGTCCAATCTCTCTGACATAAAAAAGAAGGTTGCAACTGTGAACAACTCTCTATAAACTTGTCTCACTGCAAGGGAAACATAATCAGCAAGGGAGCACTAGCATAACTTACCAAGACAAACTGGACAAGAGGGTAGCTCCGTAAAGCCCGACGGGGGCGTGCTAGCTACATCAGCTGATTCCGTATAGTCCACTTCGTGCAGAAATAGGATATGGCATACCTCAGCCTGAATGTCCAGAAGAAGAAGAGTAGGAAAAGCGAAACAGAAATTGGCTATGCGATCTCACGGCAAACAAAACAGGTGCAAAAATCGGAAATACCTCAGCAGGCGAAAAATTCTTCCCATTGAAGGTGCAATAGAAACCGTCAGCAGTCTTTTGATCGATAAGCTCGATCAGCACACTGTACCTATCTTCCATCCCATCATTCCTACACCAAGCACACACAATTCGCAACACAGTGATCACTAAAACTATTAAACAGCATCTAAAAGAAACCAGACCAGAAATCTCAGTTCCGCCGTTGCAATGCTTCCAAAAAAATTGAACTTTCATACACGCCAAGGCATGATCATGAGCAATTTTTCAATAATCGAGTCGAGCTTTTAGATGGTCATCGGCGAAGCTAGCTAATTCCTCAAATTCTCAGCCAATTCACTTCACCAACCTGAAGAAGCCAGTCGAAGTGCCCGAAAAAGAGGAGGAGAAAGCAAGCCTTACCTGATGAATCGGAGCTCAGAGACGTCGTCGATCCGGGGGCCGCAGAACCGGACGAAGTCGTCGGGGGAGAAGTAATTGGGGACGGCGACGGCGAAGAGGGTGGTGGAGCGAGCGCCGGGGCTCGAGAGGGGCGCGTGCGACAGCGTCCGGAACAGGTGGACCATGCCCCTCCGCTCGGTGAACCTAGGGCTCGGCGTCGGCGTCGGCGGCGGCGGCGGCGGCGGCGGCGGCGACGGCGAGGAGGAGGAGGAGAAGCCGCCGCAGCCGGCGGCGAGGGGGTGGTCGGTGTCCACCGAGTGGACCCGGAGGAAGAACATTTTTCTTCGGGGCGGTCTGCGATTGCTGGGCTGAGTCGAATCGCCGAGCCGCGGACGGATGCGGAGCGAAGCAGCGAGAAGAAACTCGCGGTAACTCCTGAGGATGGCGCACGCTTCTTCCTAGAATTTATAAAGGTTGCTACTTGCAAGTTGCAAGCAAAGAAACCTAATCGGTGCAATTTAAATAATTATCGGACAATATAACTAACTTAATATCAATAATTATATAGGAGAAATTTAAAAGAACTTGTTGAGTTGAGATTTGCACAACAAACATTTTTTCATTCATTTTTGCGTGTTCAAAATAACCGAAAAAAGCTAAATTTAAAATCGATAGTATGGCAGATCATAGTATGTTTTCTTTATGGCCAAATTACTTTTTAATTGAGCGGATCCGAAATCATGTGAATTACGACAGGAAGCGTGTTATGCGATTGCTCACGAACAAAATAATTTGTAGGAGCTACATGAAGGCGGGGCATACTTAATGAAATATAAAGATTTAGGAGCATGGCATAACCAGAATAGAAGATGGTGGAAAAAATAACGAGGATTATTAAAAATAAATTAATTTTTTAGCCCTCCCTAGATGCTGGCTTTGCGTGACCACCCTTTAACCTTCAATTTCTCGCTATGTCTTCTCGACGTATAATTTTGCAATCAGCTCATTCTCACTTTATTATCAAATGATGATACATCCAGGTTTAAACATTGGTAATGAATTCTCCCGACATTGGAAGCAAAAAAAAAATGATCGAGGCCTAAACTAACCTAAAGTCGTGGATTCTAATTCTCTTCTTTCGGCTAACCAAAAACAAAACCATGACTAAAACAGCTAGAACAATCCTAGATGTTCTAAAACTGAAATACAAAAGCAGTCCAGTGTCTCTTTTGTTTGGCATAGAAATTGCTATTAGAGGTGATAATCATGCGGACCTAGTTTGGGCCAAGCCCATTTGCCTTTCGGACCTGGTCGTGTTGTAAGTTGTATGACTCGGGTGTTTGATAATATATATTGTAAAACCGCAGAACTTCAAAATTGGGCTGAGACAACACTACTATAAATTGCTGAGGTTTAGAGGAGGCTGCAATTTTGCTCAATTTTTCCCCAACATACAATATACCTTTACTACATAGTAGCACCTACGGTAAAGTTGTATTAAACAGACTCAAAAGGTAAATGTCGAGAACAATGATACCACAAGAACCTGAACTTTTCCTCGTCATGCAATCTAGTAACTAAATTTTATTTTTGATCAATTGAGCACCTCGACTATTGATATGTGTTTCAATGTTTGGCTTCTGCATCATGTCGTATGATTTTGCCGATGTCGACTATCTACTTAGTTGTAAACAACGACGTGGAAAAGCTAGGTCATCATCTATTTTCCGACCCAACACAAAAGAAAACTTTCCTTTCCTTGTTTTTTTCTCTTTTACCTTTCCTTCTTGGTTTTCTTCTTCCTCCTTCCTTCGCCGGCTGCCATTGCCCCAAGGACAACTCCATAACCGCCACCGGCAACCACACTTAGCGGCCACCATCTGTAGCCACACCGCTATCGCCAGTTTTGGGGTTGGTGGCAAGGCACGAGGGTCGACATCTGGGCAAAAACGATGCTAAGAGGAAGGGGAGGAGGAGGAGAAGGAGGAGTTTTTTTTTCCGTATTTCATTGGAAGAATGAGGTGACTATCTGTATTATTACATTCACCCAATCAAACCGCCGACTTCAGCAAAAATCATGTGATCTGATACAAAACCTCAATATCAAACCATGTTGTGAAAGTTGAGGCACTTCATTTAACATATGAATATTAGATTGCATGATGAGAAAAAGTTCGCACTCCTGCGACGTTATTACCGCTATAATTTCGAGCATTTTAAGCCGAAGCTTTACTTGGCGGTCTATTCCCATTTTTTCTTTTTCTCTTTTTCTTTCCCGTTACGATCAGATTATGTGAAGACTAAAAAAATTTCCGAGAAGAAATGAACTCCACAGGGAAAGACATGTACTATTGACAGAAAAATGAGAATGCTGAGACTTGTCTTCTTCGAAAGCCTGGTTCGAGGGCGAAAGCCTAGTTTCCAAGGAGCACGTCAAAGTTAGGACAAGTTAGTCTTCAAGCCAGCAAGTCTCCTTAGAAAGCTAATTTTGAGCGGGCAGTCCAAGTTTGACTTTCTTTCTTGTGCATGAGAACTGGCCATTGCCCAAGAGTTCAGCTTCATAGAACATTCTTGCACCCCTAGGCCTTGTCAAATTGCCAATCACAACTATTCCCCTTGCCTTTCTTTTTTCCTTGGAACACCAAATCCATTGAGGAAAGGAGGGAAAAGAGAAACAAAAGATGCTCTCAGTGTATTGAGATCTTCTCAAATCAAGAAGACCATGCAATCCTTCCGTTTGCTTATCGTGACTCTATTGTCTCTCTCTCCAAAGGTCGATGACCATGATTTTGTTTCAGAAAGAGAGAGGGAAACCATAATTATCAGGTAATCCGGTAAACTAATAATGAGACCCACATGATTAACGATCCAAAAGATCCTGGTCTACATGACCTGTAAACCATAGGCTATGCACGACATCGACGTACACGAGGTGGTGGCCAGAGGGTAGAGAGGGAGACTGGGAATAGCTTTTAGGGTGGCTGAAGGCTCAAGAATATGGTAAAGTGGGATCCAGCATGCTTTTCCTTTCCCCGTCCTTGTTGGTGCTAGTTTGATATGTGTGAAACATATACCATCGGAAGTCTAGGTCATTATGAATTAAGAACATCGCAGGAAAGAAAAAAAACTTACCTTGGTCAACTAATAGGTGCTGCTGATTATAGTATAAAACTATTTATTTAATATATGCTGTCCAATCAACATGCTTGCCAAAAGATAAATTTGGGAAGAAAACAGTGCAATCCCTCTTCTAGAAGCCAAAGCCCATTAATGACGCGGTTCCCTCCTTTTGAACTTCCACCACCAAACACTACACGTTATCTCTCTTCAACCTTTGACATATAGACCTTGAAACCACCCATGTCTTCACCTCATCTCAATCCTCACATCTCCTCCTCCATCATTGCACATCTCTAATTTCTCCATTTTCTTCAAGCTCATACGAGACACACCTCTTCTTGTTCTGATAGTTTGTTCTTGAGAAGTTTGAGCAAAGACCCGCTTCGATCGAAGTGATTGTTTTTTCGTGTTCGATGGCACCTAGTACTATCCGAAAGGCAATCGGGGCCGTCAAGGACCAGACGAGCATCAGCATCGCCAAGGTCTCGAACAACATGGCGGTGGAGCTCGAGATCCTGGTGGTGAAAGCCACCAGCCACGATGAGGACCCTGCCGACGAGAGGCACGTCAGGGAGATCCTGGCCTTCACCGCGCACTCCAAAGGGTACCTGGAGACTTGTATTGCCCTGATCTCGAAGCGGTTGAGCAAGACGCGGGATTGGATGGTGGCCCTCAAGGCTCTCCTGCTCATACACCGGATAGTGGTTGATGGCCATCCCAATTTCGGAGATAAGATCGTCTATGCTTCTCGCCACGGGATGCGGCTGCTCAACATGTCGCACTTCCGGGATGAGGCGCACTCGAATTCGGGGGACCATTCGAGTTTCGTGAGGTTCTACGCCATGTATCTCGAGGAGAAGGTTGAGTTTTCGGTGTTTGATAAGAGACAGGATGGTGGCGGTGGTGGTGCTGAGGGTAAATATGAAGAGAGACATGAATTTGATCAAGACAGGAGGTCCAGTCCAGCGAAGAAAGAGGTCGTGTCAATCAAAGAAATGAGGCCGGAGAGACTTTTGGTCAGGTTGAATCACCAACTGAGAATTCTTGACCGGGTTTTGGCTTGCAGGGCGGCCGGAGCGGCCAAGACTAGTCGATTGGTGCTCGTCGCGCTCTACCTGGTGTTGAAGGAAAGCTTCGGGCTGTACGGCGAGATTAGCGAGGCCTTGGAGGTGTTTCAAGATCGATTTGCCTTGATGGAATATGGGGACTGCCTCAAGGCCTTTGATGCTTACGTCGGTGCGGCAAAGTTGATCGATGAGCTCATGGGGCACTATAATTGGTGCAGGGACGCGGGGATAGCGCGGATGTCCGAGTTTCCTGAAGTGCAGAGAGTTTCTGATGAAGTCCTGAGAACTCTTGATGGGCAGCTGAAGGAGATGAACCAGAACAGACCAAGCAAGAATAGCCCCGAGAGAATTGGGGAAGCGAATCTTAACCCACCAGTCGAGGATCCGAATATGAACGAGATAAAGGCGCTTCCTGCTCCGGAGAATCACATGCCCCCCACACCTCTGGTCGAACCCCAACCCGAGCCGCAGCCTCAGCATGCCACAGGAGAACTGATTGATCTAACAGATGATGGCATTTCGGCTGACGAGCAGGGCAACAAGTTGGCTGTGGCCTTGTTCTCAGGCGCACCAAATGCAACAACTAACGGGTCATGGGAAGCATTCGCATTGAACGGACAGCCCGAGGCTAATTCAGCATGGGACACGCCGGCGGCAGATGAAACTAAAGCCGATTGGGAACTACTTCTAGTCGAAACGGCTAGCAACCTAGCGAAGCAACAAGCCGACATGGCAGGTGGATTCGATCCCTTGCTCTTGAACGGCATGTACGATCAGGGGGCCGTGAGGCAGCATGTGAGCGCCGACCAATCTAGCGCAGGCAGCGCGAGCAGCGTGGCCTCCCAGGTAGTCCCGGGCAAGGCCGAGAACCGGGTCCTGGCGTTGCCGGCCCCAGACGGGACGGTCCAACCGGTGGGCCCTCAGGACCCGTTCTCAGCATCGCTCCCGCAGCCGCCGCCTCCTTACGTGCAGATGGCGGACGTCGGGAGGAAGCAGCAGTTGCTGGTGCAGGAGCAGCAGATGTGGGAGAGCCACGGGTGGGAGGGGACGATGCAAGGGCATCAGGTGGGTTCAGGTTACTACAATGGTTCTGTTCCTGGGAACATGGCGATGCCTTACGGGATGCCGCAAGGAGGATTCTATTACACGACCTAATTTGTGTTTCGTCATTTTTTGGACCATTTTTGTTCCTTTTTAATTCTTTTTTTGGGGGGAAGTTTTTCTTGTGAAATTAAGTGTCGTCGCGTCAGAAGGAAGGGAGTGTAATTATATGCAGCATTTGGGGTAATCTCGAGTTTTCATGTTGTAAAATATATGAATGTGTAAGTCATTCATTCAGATTAAAATTGTTGAAGCATAGAAAGATCGGTCGAGGTTACTTGTGCAAAGACCCTAATGACCTTCTAATCTAGAAGGGGAGGGGAGGTGCCGCTCGCCTATAATTGCGATTGTATTGTGGTAAGCAGATGGAAACTTCTTTGACTTTGGCTTGCTGGTCCAAGATAGTTTTGGGGGGTGGCGATCCTTGCGAAGATTAGAAGATGCAATAGTCAACGGTCAAACCCGGATTGCTACACTGCGTTGGCGTTCCCTCTTTCAACTATCACTAACTATTTCCTTCTCATTCCCACTCTCTCTCTCTCTCTCTCTCTCAATGACGAAAACTTTACCTTAATTCCGAATTTTACAACAGAGGAAAAAAAACGATACAGAAAAATAATAATGCTTCTCGTGGACCTCCCATGGATTGGATTGTGCTCCTGGGCAGGTTGCAAATTTGGAATATAAGGGTGCGTTCGTTTCGCGAAAAATAAGTGATCTAAAAAATATTTACCGAAAAATGATTGCTTATATTGTTTAGAAAAATTAGCCAACGGAAAATATTTTTTTCATCAATAACGATTTACACCTAACTATTTTCGTGGGCGATGAAAAGATTCTCCATTAATTTATTTTTATAAGCGATACAAGCGATTATTTTTCGAAAAATATCTTTTAAATTGCTCATTTCCTATGAAACGAACGCATCTTAAAAGAGAATCGAATATATTTGTACGTCTCTCTAATAAGAAGAAGAAGAATAAGAAGGTTCTCTTCGACCCAGGGGATGGCATAATATTTGAAAGATATTTCATTTGTCAAATGATATTTCAGGTCTCGAGCTAATTACGTCTACAAAATCGCAGGTCCAATTCCTCAAAGGTTGGCGCATTTGGATGGTGAGCAAGAGGTTTCCATCTTTGAAATTAGAGTTTTTTTTTTTTTGGGGGTCAAATAAGGCTTTTATTCAAATGATTAGGGGGAAAAGAAGCAGCTGGGCTTCGGTACACAAGTGGTTCTAGAAATTAGAGTTCACATGTGCAAATCTCAACGGAACTATTATGAGCCGGCGCCATATGCGCAAGCTTGCGAAAGATAGTAAATTGAACTGATTCATAAGATTTGAAGAGTGTTGCACACACCTTCAACTAGTCAAGCCACTACGCTTGTGCATTTGAGTTATTAAAATAAATATGAAGAGATTATTTTTCACTTTTTGGTTAGTAAGATAATTTCTTTGTTGCTTTTATTAACAAACACATATAAAAAGAGACTGAAGCCTCACAATATAGAAAGTCGATGTACCGTGATATATTATTAAGAAAAAAAAACCAAACGTGTGTTCTTAGTTCCAATTCGTACAGAAAATTTTCATGCCAAACGTGTTTTTCATGAAGATAGAAAAATGGAAACGAATATAGTTTTCATTTTCAATGAATGGAAATGTTTTTTGAAACCAAATGGGCCATAAGTAAACTCGACTCTGGTTACTTTCAATGAAATTATTCCCTTAATTTTTAATAATAAAATAATTTATAAATTCATACTTGTTCTCTTTGGTCGCGCGGGGCTACAACCTCCATGATCGCAGTGATTGGGCTCATCTCCATCGAGTGGATTGATGTCAGAGAGAGAGAAAGAGAGAGAGAGAGGCGGCCATGGAGGTCACGACCTCCGTCGATTTGCTCCAATGGAGATCTGCAGTCACACGCGACCACGACCTCCATGGCTGATGGTGGTGGAGCTCGGCTCCATCGATTCACTGGGATGTTCCACTCGAAAGGAACTTTTCTGTCGAAAATTCACTATCTTTGAAAAAACAGGAATTTTTCTGTCGAAATTCAATAACATATCACCGAAATTGGGACATTACTACATATCTTCTCGTATACATTCTTATTAGATGGAGAGCCGACACCTCATATTAAAATTTTGACATTGTCTATTGCAAAAAAGAAAATGGGTTAATACAACGAAAAACCCCAAATTGATACACTTATGACAAATTTATCCCAAACTAATTTTTTGACCACAAAAAACCTCAAAGCGGTACACCTGTGATAAATTTACCCTAAACTAAGTTTTTGAACACCAAAAACCCAAAACTGATACATTTGCGATAAATTTACTATCAATTAAATTGGATTAATATTACGGAAAACCACAAACTGGTACACCTATCACAAACGGAGGGTGAAACCCCAAATTGATACACCTGTTAACTACCACGTGTCATTTAACTCAGAAATTTTACTATAAAATTTAACAGAAATTTGTGTAGGGTAAAATTGTCACAGGTGTATCAGTTTTGGGTTTTTAGTGATCAAAAAATTAGTTTGTAGTAAATTTATTACAAGTGTACCACTTTGAGGTTTTTCGTGGTATTCACCCAAAGAAAATTTAACTATTTCGAGATATTTAATAATAGCATCAAAGTATTTCCATTTCCAGTAAATTTTATTTTTCCATATTGTATTAGTCGACAACAAAGTGCAGTGATTACGTATACATCGTATTAGTTATGACGAAAGATGAACGCTTGCAAAGAAAGTTAAATCACAAAAGATATGCTAAGACAAAAAGAATAATTTATGAATGATCAGAGAATAAAATCGAATAACTTTGTAGGAGAAATTAATTGTTTATCAACAATTCAATCAAGAAAACTAATTTCTTTGTCTGAGTAGTTCCTTTTATCCTTCGCTCAATAAGATAACCTAATTGTATACGAAAAAAACCAATTCCATGATGTAAAACTAATTCCCGAAAAAGTGAGAGCCTTATCTTCGTATTTAGAAAAAAAAATTAAAAAATAAACAGTATACAAACATTATCATTACTACAATAAGATCAATAAAAAATACGGACGTCGATCACTTATAGAAGCACAATGAAAAGGGGAAAATTTCCAAAAAAACCATAAACCTATTGTATTTGTATAGATCTAGTTATAAACCTTTCAACTTGGCTAATTTAGTCCTAAACTTTTGAGAATTTGCCAATTTAGTCATAAACATTTCAATTGTGCTAATTCGATCCTAAATTTTTTAACGATTTGCCAATTTAGTTATTCCAGTCAATTTTGGGCGGAAATTGCCGACGTAGTAGTCTAGTCAGCATCGACTATTCTTCATGGCACGGCCGGCGTTGATGTGAATAATTTGTTCAATTTTTTAAAAAAAATTCAAATTATAATGGTGTTTTTATTATTTTATCTTTTTTCTTCTTTTTTTTTCCAACTCTAGGCCGGCGAGGTCGCCGGTTGACCCTCGTTGGCCACAAGAAGGGGTTGGCGACCCTCAGCTAGTCTTAGCATTGACCGTGCTATATATGTGTGTGTGTGTGTGTGAAAATAATCCGAGTTAGTGGGCTGGACAGCGAAAGAGCGATTGACGAGTGGCTTTCTAAGGTGGGCCGAAGGGCTCCTCTCTTGGTCTCCAACTCTAATGTATTGAAAGACCACTGCATACAAAGGACCTTAATGCATCATACGGATCGACCTTTTTCCCCGAATATAATAAAGACACAATGGCCAGCCCACTAACATGCTGTCCAGCTTATCCAAATAGCTTTGTGCATTGATTTCCTACTCAGCCGAAATAGTTACTTCATAGGATGCCACATCACGCGATCTCATATTGACTTGATTTTTTTTAGCCTGTCCTGTCTATACATCTTATCTCTCTCTCACAGACTATTGCTCTGCTTTTTTTGTTGAGTGCGGAAATCGAACCCGCATCTATGATATATAGCATCTCTACCCTTTAATTCCCTTATCACTAGACCGCGTGCCCAGTGGCCATGTTGACTTGATGGATCGGGGAGATATTTATCGATACATAGTCTTGGTTAAATGTTTCCGTTAAGTTATCAATCAACCTTTTCGCGACTTCTACCTGTTGAGTTTTGAGTCTCTTTCTTTTGGGAGCAAGTGACAACGCGAATTGGTAATGGTGGAAACTCACTTTGTACTACTGAGGTGCTGAAGACTCGCTGTTATTAATCAATTTCACTTCACATAAGTTGATGGAGTATATTTATGAAAATTAGAGATTTCCCTATTGAAGAATATTATTAGAAATATTATTGGATATTAAGGATATCAGTTGATATTTCGTCATTTCCTAAGATAGCTAATTTACTTGTTAGATTTGATTATTTTTTTCCTATACATATTGTTCGAGTATAAACACCCTTGACTCTAATACATTGATAATAATAATAAAAAAAAACCAATTGAGTAAATATGGTCCTTATTGATTCTCTTTCTCTTGAAAATCCTAAAATATATACATAAGTAAATACATATACCTTGCCAGAATAGGATGTCACAAAGCTAACCCTTTGCTTTTTACCCATTCTTTGTTTACACAGGTGCGCCATAAAACGTCCACAGGAATATAGACCGCAACCTTCATTAAAGAGCTCCGAAAGCACGTCATTTAAGCAATTCGTCCAAATCTCGCCGACTTGAATAAACCATTTCCCGTGAAAAAGTTTACTTCAATAGGAAAAAAAAATTGCAAAAAGGAGGTGTCAGACCCTAAAAACAAATCATTTACAAGATTGTGCATACGCTATCTCAACAATGTCGCACACATACATTACTCATTGTACTAAACCAACAAGTTTGGCTAAAAACACTGAGAATCTCCTTATTCAGTTGCCCAATATCATCACCTAGGACTAATACGTAAGCCAGGAGTTGACTAGCTAATCACTTGGACAACAAAACAATCTGGTCATTCCGGGTTTTCCAGGCCTTTGCCTCGGAGCACAGCTGCAAAATCTCCATCACCACCTTCTTCGTCCTGGTGATGTTGCCGGCCAATCTCATTTGCTTCTCCATGTTCACCAGCCGCTCTATTGTGGCTTCCAAATTGCCTCCGCCCTCCTGTCACGCCAAGCGAATAAGCATAAAAATTGGATGATTCAATAAAAAAGAAGAAGCTAGATGTTTGTAGATGTTACTCGTCAGTTCTGTGATGTGAGTTTCTCGTATGTCCAAGATCCAGTTTTCTGCAGATTCCCAATCCTTTGAGGAAATTCCTCAATTCCTGTCCATTTTAAATCCAGCTTAGTTAATGATGATGACTGTCCGATCAAGTCGGGGATCTCTCTCAACAACTCGCATCCATGTAATGACAATTGCTGTAGAGATGGTAGATGGCCTATGGAGCTGGGTATGCTGGCTAATGAACAAAAATCTAAGTCTAGCTTAGTTAATGACACAAGAGAGTCCATGGATTCTGGAAGTTGAGCAAGTTTTTCACATAACGTGGCATCTAGAGTCTCTAGCTTCATCAAACAACCTCTCGAAATAGGAATCTCTTCTATAGCGGTATCATATAAGATAAGCTCCTTCAATTCTTCCATTCTACCTACTCCCGCTGGAAGCTCCTTCAGTCTTATACAATGTTTGACATTCAAGGAGACAAGGGTCTTGATGTCCCCGAGAGAAGGATGAATCTCTTGCAGCTCTGAACATCTTTCAAGATTCAAAATTTCCAAGCTTTCAAAAGCAGACAAGTCAGGAGTTCGTTTTAAAGAAGGACAATTTGAGAGGTTGAGAACTTTTAGTTCAGTTGCCATCTGAAAGAAAGAAAGGATATTTCAGTAAGATTGGACTACTGCAACATGTGATTTTCCACTAGTTCCTTTTTTTTAGTGTTCTTAAGATTTTTCAAAACTACTCATCCTCCACTACTCATTTTATTTAGATTTTTTTTATATAAAAAAAAACATATACGTGTTTCAATTTTCGGTTCCCATGCAGCCATGCTATCATTGCTTCGGTTCTCCACTACTTCACGTTCGTTTTATTCAAATGTTCCTTAGGAGTGTTTGGCTACGTCACCAACATAGAAATATATCCTGGGCATATCTATTGCAAAAAGAATGTCGGGGATATACAGGTGCCAACCATAGTTTCTCATTGCGTTAGGCATATCTTCCAATTTGGCTAAAATAAAAATCATCTGGTTAGCACTCAGAAAAATAACATATAATTCGCCCTCACAAAACTTATTATAAAGCAATGCACTTATTGAAGTAGTAGTGTTGAATTTTGTTTCTTAAATAATTGATTCTATCAATGACCATTCAAGTAGTGTTTCAAGTAAAAAGCAGTTAAAATCTTTGTGGGAACGTAACCAAACGATACCAAAATAGTTGTAACTTTTGTATTTCTCGTGAAAGAAGATTGATATATAAATATAAGAAGAATTGCTAAAACGACATACTTTTACTTGGGCAGAAGATCACTTGGAAGACATAAACCATTTAGATTAACACAATCTTTTATCTTAGGAACGATATTAAAACTTTCTAAATCAAAGATATGACAACTTGGTGCTATTGGACCTTCAACAACGTGATTATTCACAAGAGGTATGCCTTCTCTACATCTTACCTTGAGTAGAACCCATCCTCCCCAATCATCCGAAAACTTACTCCAAGATAGATCGAGCACGACTAATTTCTTTGGATGAAAGTTGGCCACTGCAAAATCTGATGGACAACGCTCCCACCAAAGCCATCTTAATTGAGGAAGTAAGTTCCGGAAATCTCCAGCTACAATTGGACCATTCATTTGAAGGAACCTCAAGTTGGTCAGCTCTTTAAATTGTTCACCTAAGTAGTTTTGCTGGTCATATTTGTCAAGACGAAGGGCCTCAATCTCACTACTGCTCTGCAATTATGAAATATTGTAGACCTTAAGTTTTGAATGATGAAAGGAGAACAACTGCACATAAGAAAAGATGGACTAATTTCAATTTGTTGTCATGATATTATAGCAAACGCTTCTAACTTTCAACTTCATGAAACGATAGGTTGTGGTTGCGTATTATTTATCCAGTTTATGTAGAAAAAGTGAAACTCAAGTGGCTGTTGTCGAGGTTTTCCTCTCTTCTAATTATGCCCTTTGCAATTTTCATCGTTCAAATTCCCAAAATTGCATCCTTTCAAAATTACAATAGAAGACCTCTCTTTATGCACACACTAATCGAAATTTTGCTAGTAGAAGCAGTAAGTTTTGAGGACTCAGGAATAAAAATAATTTTTATCTTAAACAAGAAAGAAAAGATGGACTCACGTTCACTGACTAAGACAAGTAGAGAAAGCTTTTACCTTATTGTTGTCAAGCACATCTAAGGCGTCCTCGTAAATCCATATTCTACTTCGCTTTTCAGGCTTCTTTCGATCTTCTATACGAACAATTTCCCTTCCAAGATCTCTTAGTTGATCATGCATTACTAGCTTGTCATCCTTGTCAATCTTAATTAGGGACATAAGACTTAATACTTCAATCCCATTCGTCGGGAAAAAACCACAAGCATCCCACATATAACTCGGAATGTGTTTAGAAAATCCACTGAAAAAACACGCAATATCCAAAAATATTTGTTGCTCATAATAATCTAATGCCCGGTAGCTTATCCTCAACTTCTCTTGCACTTTCTCATGAGGCACTTCCTTTAATTTCTTGAATGTATCTTTCCATACTTCTCTTTTCTTTCCACATAAGAATGAGCCTACAACTTCAAGAGCTAAGGGAAGCCCCCCAGTAGTAGATGCAACATCACGAGATATAGCCTCATAATCACTCGGAGGAGAATCCTTTCGAAATGCATGTCTACTAAATAAAATCAATGATTGATCCGAAGGCAACTCGTGGAGTTGGTACATGTGGCCTGCCCTAGCATTGTCAAGAATAATCTTGTTTCTAGTTGTTATGATTACCATACTTCCTACTCCAAACCAGCTACCATCTCCAACTAAAGCATCCAAGTGAGTATTGTCATCCATATCATCAAGAAGAAAGAGGACTTTCTTATGTTTAAATCGAGATTTGATGACAGTGATTCCCTCGTCGACATTATACACATCACACAAACTTCTTGTAATGTCAAAAATGAGTTGCTTTTGTATGCATTCAATACCCTTATGCCGAGATGTTTCTCGAATATTTGCCACGAAGCTGCGATACTCAAAATGACTAGAGAGTTTGTTGTATAACACCTTTGCAAGAGTTGTCTTACCGATGCCGCCCATTCCATAAATTCCGATAATCCTTGTATCATCAAATTTGGCATCTATCGAGCTCATAATCTTTTTCACATGATAATCAATTCCCACCAACTGGTCGGGAACATTTAGATGAAAAAGTCTTTTTAACTCGCTCATAACTTCTCTTACAACAATTTTAACTAGTGCTCCTTCATGCCTGTCAAAGAACAATATATATTTCAACAATATATATATTTCAAGTAAGATCTAGTTATGAGAAATGAAATGATGTTTTAGTAGAGAATAATGTACCCCTCATTAATTTTCATTGATTCCCAGCCTTTCAAGGAACCGACTTCTTGAAGCGCTTCTTCCCATTCCTTCACAATCATTTTGTCCAAATTCCTTTTATGTGCATTGATAGCATCTCCTAATCTTCCTGCAAGATGTCGCAAATGCGAGGGTTCCACTTTGTAAAAAATGGGTAATACTATTTGCCCCATGCTACTCTTGCACTTCAAAATCTGAACGAGCTCACGGAGGCACCATTTGCTAGAAGCATAATCCTCAGAGATAATTGGGATCGAGATCTTCGATTGTCTTATACAATAGAGAAGCTCCAGACCAATCTCCTCACCAACATGGAGCTCATTGTCATCTTTGAACACATGGATTCCTGCATCGACAAGACTAGTATAGAGATAATCAGTGAAGCCTTCGCGAGTGTCTTTCCCTCTGAAGTTCAGGAACACTTCGTAATCATTTCCTTTCAGCTTTTTGGTTCCGCCTCCATAATCACCTACATGTTGAGAGGTCGATGAGGAAGACGCCCCGGATATTGGATCTTCTAAATGAGCGGGTTCTTTTCTTTTCATCTTGAGACGATTGTACTGATACCACAGTAGTAAAGAGATTGATGGAGCAAAGCCTCAAAAGAAGAGAAACATGGAATCCCAAATCTAGGAATTGCAGAAATGTCTCTCAGAACTCAATCAGAGTGACATATTCAAACAAAATTAAAGAACCTTACTCACTTTAATCAGAAGAAAATGGAGCAATTAAAGCAGGAAACAGAGAAGAGTAAGGAGGCGTGGACTACTTGAGGAGTGCTCAAACAACACAGTTCGCCCCCTGCTGTGATATCCACCAATTCTCACCCTTTGACGATGGATTACCAGCACACAACACTCTCTAAATTGTGAGCTTGGACAATGCTGAATTATTCATGCCGACCGAACTGCCGCAATGCATGCTTCCCAGAAAGGATAATTATTGTGCGCGCAATTTCCGGGGCATTATTGCATGCGACGCGTGCTGCACAGTATGGACAATTATTGCCTTTCCTATTAATAAAAGAAGAGCAAAGAAAACTAATGACCAATACTCACATGCTCCTAGTGCAAAGGCACACGAGTGAATGACAAGACCAGGATTTGTTAATAAATGTATGCAGGACACTCTGATGATATGGAGTTAATAACAGCAATTCCTTTCAATTGGGCTGCATACGGTGTGTTCCTACAGGAGGAAAAAAATATGGGGCTTGGAGATGCCTTGATGCGAAGCGTACATTCAGACAGAGTAATTTGGAAAATGTATTGCTATATGTTGGCCAACTGACGTTAGGATAATGCAGAAAAAAACGTGCTTTTCTTACGGCTCATCCGACAGGGACGCGAAAACGAAGTTCCTGTCTAATCTCTCAGCTGCTGAAGGGTGACACAGGCTAGTTAACGCAGGTTTAGTTCAAACAGCTGCCATTGATTTGTTTTAGCGATGTCTGGAGATGGTGGCCACTTTTAGTAAGAAACTTTTAGCATCTAGTCATTTTGTATAAAACTGATTGGCTCTATTCAATTCAGTTTCTTCACAATTAAGTTGCATGATATATGTGTTTATATAGAGAGATGCAGTTATATAGAGAGATGCAGTTGTACGTGCGCCACAGCTTAAACAATTGTTCGACCATTACTGTGAAGAAACCTTTTTAATCGGTGACATTTTTCGATGTCTTTCTTAAAGATTCCAACCCCTAGTAATGTGCGAAAATAGCACTATAAGTGCCATAACTTTCGTATGGTGCTCGCTCTAATGTCATAACCTTTTTTCAATCACTTGAGTTTCATAATTTGAGTGCCATAATTTTCGTACGATACCTACTCAAGTGCCATAACTTTTTTTTTCCAATTACTTGAATGCTACATAACTTTTTAATCGATCACTTAAGTGTCATAACTTTTTAAAAAACGCTTACCATGTTGAATTTTTGGCATTCAAGTGATCAATTAAAAGTTATGGCACTCAAGTTAACATTTTTTAAAAGTTGTCACTCATGTGGTTGAAAAAAAATTATGATACTCAATTAAGTATCGTGCGAAAATTATGATACTTATGACGTTGTTATCCGACTTTCATAGGAAGCTGCTCATGAAAAGGACTTTTTAACTGCACACTCACATACTTTCTGTCATTGTTTATAATCTCAAAACGACAATGACATCTTTTATATTAAAGTAAGAAAATCTTTTTTTAACGCAAAAAAAAGGAGAAACATTAGCGGGATAGTAGCAAGCAGCAGGATC